CACAGGATGCCACTTCACTAGTCTTGAGTTCAGGGAGTATAATGCCCTCCTCCCGTATGCCTCATAGATGGAGAAACCACCTTATGATCAGCTCTCTCTAATTCTGTCTGAACCCATTTCTAAGATTCAGCAATTCCACAGTGGGGAAATCTGACATTGTGGTGTGCCTCCTTATTTCAGGTGGAAAATGTCTAGAGAGGCTAGCCTCCGCTGGAACAGATAAAAGTTGGCCAATTTTTATCCTGGTAGTAGCCACCAGATGTGTGGAGAGGACCTGAACCCCCATGGGCTTACCTCAGTCTTCATCCTCCTCCCCATTAGAGCTCTTTATTTTATTTTTGACATGAAGCCTCACTCTTTTGACCAGGCTGGAGTGCAGTGGTGTGATCTCGGCTCACTGAAACCTCTGCCTCCTGAGTTCAAGCAATTCTCCTGCCTCAGTCTGACAAATAGCTGGACTGCAGGACTATGGCACCACGCACAGCTATTTTTTTTTTTTTTTTTGTATTTTAGTAGAGACGGGGTTTCACCGTGTTGCCCAGGATGGTCACAAACTCCTGAGCTCAGGTAATCCATCCACCTTGGCCTCCCAAAGTGCTGAGATTACAGGCGTGAGCCACCACACCCAGCCTAGAGCTATTCAGGGGATCCTAGGTCTTAGGGTCCCAGGAAACTTTAGTCATCATAGCCCTACCTAATTCGTGTGATGGTCAGAAACCCTTCACATGTGCTCTCAACAAGCCACCGCCCCCAACTTACCATTGTGCTTACACACCAGGACAGAAAGGTCTCTGATTAGTCTGAGCTAGTCTGGCATGCTTTTCTAGGAGTAGCTCTTCTTGTGACTGACACACGGTAGTACAGTGAGCTCTTCCTCAGTGGCTGCTCAGAGTGCAGTCGGGAGGGACCAACCACCTGCAAATGCAACAGGTTGAGCATCTGACTTTCACTTTGTAAGATGCACCCTCTGAAGTGGTTCTTCCAGAACGCTTGGCATTTTGGCAGCATCCCCATACTCACGCAGTGGGCCCCATCCATCACGGACAGCAGCTGTTGGGCCACACAAAGAAATTCACAACCTGCCCAGGATTTCTGCAGGCGTCTCCTCTTTTTAGAGTCCATTGTGTGGGTGTTCATCAGATTTTTTTACCTTTTGCCAGGTTCCCTGGATGTCATGCCAGACCAATATTGACTCCAATAGGACTGGCATCATGT